TCGAGTTCTTGACGAAATTCGTTCTTGTTGAGCTCCAGGTCGAGATGCTCAATGTTGCAGCTGCGCTTTAGGATATCGCCCAGGAATCTACTCCACAGGGGCGAGGTCATGTCGCGGTGTGCGTTCCCAACAATGAGTGAGATGCGGAGGATGCGCTCCCATCGTAGATATCCATGGCATATGAGGCTGATGCGTGAATTGAGATGGTGTTGCTCGTGTACAATCAGCTCGGTAAATGCGAAGGGACTCATTTCCGAGTGCATCTTCTTGCAGGTGGACATAATCGCAGGCAGAGAGGGCGTTTCGTGGGATGACGATCTGAAAAGAACCTCAGGATATTCTGTTGGGCTCAGATTTTCAAAGTCTATGTCCTCGCGGCACATGATGCATAACCTCTGAATCTTCTCGCGGATCTCTCCTGGTAGTCGAAAGAAGGGCGAATGGCTTTGGGCGCGCATGGTTGCCATTGTGCGTTGATCTGTGTGCCTTCCAGTCGAGTCAAGCGGTGAAGTCGAGATGGCAGCCTCAGCGTAGAACATGGTCACCACCCCTGAGGTTTTATGGTGCTGAGAGGTCCAAACCGCATTGGCTGCCTCTTTCCATTCTCGGCTGCATCTTTCGGTCATGCCCAGCATGCGGAATACACTGTCGAATGTGACCGTCTGTGGTATTTAGGTGCTCGGGGCCACTGTTGCCTAAAATACTACATGTCAGTTGATGTACCCCTGAATATGCAGCCCGATCCTGAGGCTGCCGTCGACTGCCGCTATGCTTTATTGAGCCCTGCATGTCAGATCTCAGGGAGCCTAGAAGTCAGCCTACCCCTGGGCAGCCAGTAACAAATGGACGTCAACAGAGATTTGGTCAAGTGCAGCACTGATCTGTGACAACAGTGCTGCTTATCTGTTGTCAATTCAAATGCAATCAGGAAAAGCAGACTGGCGAACTACATGGCTTGGCTTTCTAACACTTACTGAGGTTTACGAGTACCTCGATTGCGTCTGTAGGTAGCGCGACAGAACATCACGGGGCACAAAAGCTGACATGCTCATAGCTAGACGGCCCTCTTATGAATCAGAATAGGAAGAATTGGGTCAGATATTTATTGATGATACCATACCAGGGACGTGAAACCCTAGTTGATGTCCTTGCTCGAGACAAGAGTGCCAAAGACATCAGCAATTTCAGCCAGGGCAACCTTCACAAGCTGCGCAGCATCCACGCCGGGAATGTCCCTATCACCGACAGCGTCCTCAGCGACGATGACATCCCAGCCCCTCTGCGCACCCTGCCTGGCCGTTGTCGAGACGCAGACGTGAGCCTGCAATGTGTCAGTAACGTTCCACGTCGAGCTGCCCATCTCGTTGCTAGACTCACCATGTAACCGACGAGCACAATCTTCTTCCTGCCGGACTTCTCCAGAATCTCCTGCAGGTTGGTGTCGGCGAATGAACCGGGGTGGTGCTTCGTCACAACAGCCTCGCCATCCTTGGGCGCGAGCTCGTCGAAGATCTCGGCGAGCTTCGTGCCCTGGGTGAAGAGAGGGGCGCCGGCGGGCGTCTCGTGAACGACGTGGACGACGGGCGCGTTGGCGGCGCGGTACTTCTCCAGCAGGGAAGAGATGTTGGGGCGCGACGCCTCAATGTTGGAAATCTTGAGCTTGCCCTCGGCGTATTCGCCCTGGGCGTCGATGATGACGAGGACACTGTCTTGGGTGGAGGCCGTAGACGGCGGCACGCCGAGCATGGAGCGGAATGAGGACATGTTGAACGTTTCTTGAAAACCTGACACAGGCAATCCTCGATTGTGTGTTATTTGATGAACAGCAATCCTTCAAATCACGGCGCTCCCTCGAGTTTATATCACTACAGCGGCGTCGTTCGGTTTCGGACTTAGCTGGTAGATGACCCGATGCTACCCCGCAAGCCCCTCCATGGTCGGCGATGAGGTGCTTGTCAAGGTGACGCGCCACATGCACATATTGGAGGCGTTTCTCCATGTCGGGATGCTCAGTCATCAAAGGATTGGTTCGTGACAATGGGGGGAATTCCGCTAATGTCACGCTTCGGTAGTGGGCAAGTCGATGGCAGTTCGCACCATTCCTAAACAGGCCTCATAACCCGAGCTCTGCGTCAACCTCCAGGGCCCCTCTGCGTATCGTTAGCAAAAAACCTCCTTACCAACTCGGCAGTCAAGCTTTGAAATACACCCGCGAAAGGTTCCTTGTGCCAGATGCTTACCGAGCGCACGGGTCGGCAGAGGCCCATGAATTCCGGTGTTCGGGCTATGTCTTTGACTAAGGATGCCTCACTAACTTGCCCTGTTCTGGCAAGGCTCCAGGGCGTTGCCTCTTCCGAGTACAGATGGAAGACAGTAGAATAACTTATAGGGCTGAATTAAGATCTCAAAATGCTGTACTGGGTCCCTGATAACGTTGTCTCTTTCGAAATAGCTGACCAATCCCATGGTCCCGAACATGTGAAGGTATCTTCCGGGTGTCGTGTCAAGCCATCAACGTCCCAGCACGGTCTTCGAATCATATCATACATTTTCCAGCCATTGGCAGCCTGACTCCAAAAGCAGAAAGCGCTGCAGCTCGCTATGCCTAAGCACCCGTAGACGCTTATCATATCCCACGCCTGTTGTATGCCGCGTGTCTGCCATTGAGTCGGTCGTGGTCCGCGCCGGCCTGCGGTAACGCAATGCGAACATCAGGCCACTCATCCGTGGATGGACACTTCTCGACTACGACATGCCAACCGCGAAGCCGATAGCAGCCGCAATCACAAGCCCCCAAACGACGGGGCCAGCATCTGGCGCGTCGTTTTTCTGGACGACCGTGATTGGAGTTGCGTCGACCACACGGTCGACCCAGCCGAAACTCCTTTCTGCCGAGTTGGAACACCCATATATTACTGGTTCCTGTAGAAGAATCTGATTTGATGCACATTTGACTGAAGACTCAAATGGGGAGCAAACATGAGATTCCAATAGGCGGCTCATTTCATCATGATGACAACCCCAGAGGGTCGAATCAAGAGTACCACTACCACAGTCGGGCTTGGATCCAAGCAAGGGCCCGGAAAGTTGACCCAGGGCCGTTGACACTGCTTTCAAACATATAGTATCCGGGCATACTGAACTGGTAGATAGTATGCTTCTGTTCATTGTGGCGCCCCCGCCCAGCGAATGGCAGGCGACTCGAACGCCGGTGTCAATGCTGAATGGCGTTTCTGCCAGCTGCTGGTAAAGTCTGCGGACCCAGCGATAGTCGACTCCAATGTCTTTTCCTCCTTTGCTTGTTGGACAACTGGATATAGGACCTCGTCAGTCGCCCTGTTCAATGCCCAAGGTTGCGAAACCAGACTCGAAGGCCATCCGGACACCCTAGGGGGGGTACGGGCCGGTCGGAACGCTCCGCGGGACTATGAGCTGAAGCTGCTGCAGTGTGTCCTGTTTCTCCGAAAACTGTCGAGACTAAGCTTTGGCGTGGGCGAGCGATTGTCGAGGCTAGCCACGATGGACATGCCCCGCGATACTGCGAAAACGAAAACGTGGCTCAGGGAAGAACCATTTGCCCGGATGAAGAAAGAAAGAGGCAGGACTGCGTTTGTGCGGTAAGGGGGCAAGTAGAGGCAGACGCGCGATGTGCACACTTGACTGGACGGGTCTCCTTCGAGGTGGTCAGATCGTGGTCAGCACTACCTGAGCTGCGACCTACCTGAGCCCAGGTACTTATGTCGGGAGGGCCTCATTCTGCAGCGTTGAGCCGAGGAAGGCGGGTGCGCCAAGAAGCGGCACAGCAGCGAGCAACGAGGGGCTGAAGCTGAGGTTTCGCCAAAAAAAATCATCCTTCAGCTAGGACCAACTGTTCCCCGAGCGACGATGCACAAAACACACGGAAAAAGGACTGTTCTCGTGTAATTGAAGCCAGACGGACCACTTTGTCAGTGATTCAGGCCTCGGTGAAAAAAGGCAGGCAATCTTTCACCGAGCGGATCAGGCAAGGCGAGGACAGACCGAGCGACGTCGCCAAGCAGGCAGGATCAGCTTCGACACGCCCACCTCCCCACGAACTGGACGCTCACGATCTCCAGGAACCGGGTCACATCGAGGCCAAGCTCGGTAATCGCTCAGGCTGCTGATACTGCTGCTGCGCGTGCGGCAGAGATCGCGCCCCCAAGGGGGATCGTCGGCAGTTTCACTAGCCCCGCGAAAGCCTTCAAGGAAAAGTGAGGCAAAGTACCTTGGAATCGAAGATCCCCAGGGGAGAGGGGGAGGCGGGCAGAAGAAAATCGTCACTTGTCACGGCGAGACCCTGAAAATCCAAACGATGCCGTGGCCAGCTTCACATGCGAAACCCCGTTCAGCAGACCCTGAGCACCAGCCACGCACCCTGGGTTTCCTCTGTCACCAGCCCCACTCCTCCCACCGTCTCTCCACGACAATGACGTTGTTCCTTCACACATCGAGGCACCGCCCTCCATCGAGATGGTGAAGCATCCCTCATCCCTGAGCGCCCCCCCCCCAGCAGCAGCAACGAACAATCTGCCCGGCCGTGACGTTCCAGAACGCATCATGATGAAACCAAGCCACGAGTCCAGCAGGGAAGCGAACGGCCACACCAGCCTGAGGAGTGGCTGACGTCTTCTCGCAGCTCGCGCACCTTCCACGTTCAGGTTTCCTGACCCCCAAACGCACCAATCACATCGCATGCCCCGCCACCAGTATGACGTCGGATCGGCGGCGCGCATCAGCCACACCTCGTCAGCGGCCCAGACACATGGTCGGCGGGCGTGATGGATGAGGTGCAAACCGGGCAGGCAGCCGGTCGAGCCAGTTCAGATAAAGAGATGCTTCGTCGCCGTGTTACGGTCGGAATGGAGTCTCTCTAGATCCAGCATCAGACAGAAGCAACATCAAACAACAACTACGACACCCATCCACCACGAAACCCTCGACGCCAACAACCAAACAAACACACATACAAACACATCAAAATGGAGTGGTCCAAGCAGACATACAACTCTCAGTACGAGAAGTGGGTGCCCTGGGCAGAGGATCTCTACCTGAGGTGGTTCACCAACGACAACAAGACATCCTATGCCGCTAAGCGTAAGCCACAAACCCCCTCCCCCTCCCCTTGACTTATAGCTCCCAGACCCCTGGCTAATATCAACCATCAGAGAACCTCGACAAGACCAAGGTCACCGGTATCTCCCAGGTCGACACCCTGCAGGACGGCGTGCACGGCCTCGTCGCCGGCCAGGTCGGCCAAGGCGGTCTCCTCCAGCCCGTCGGCGATCTCGTCTCCAAGGAGGGCGTCAACCGTGCCGAGCGCCAGGGCAGGGACGATAAGGGCAACTACGCCGACAGCAGCATCCCCGGCGCCGGCGTCGCCAACAGCGCGGCTACAGGCCTCGTCGACGGCGGCAAGGCCGTCGGCGGTGGCCTCACCAGCGGCGTCAAGGGTGCTGGCGGTTACGTCGGCGGCCTCTTCGGCGGCGGCAAGAAGCCGGAGGAGGAGCAGCAGCAGCAGCAGAAGAAGTAGAGAGGGTTCCCACTTGATGAAACCCTACGACTGTCATCATGAGCGCAAATATTTGAGCGTTTGCGGTGGTGCCCATTTCCCATGGTTCGGCGCTTTGGATTAGATCTAGTTTCCAACAATAATACCCCTTGGTGTCTTTTTCCCCCCAAAACCATCATGAGATGTCCCCAAACTTGCCATTGTCCTGAGCTCATCGTGGCAACGCTGGCAGAAACAGGATGAGTACATATACGTGCAACAGCGTAACTGATGGCGCCAACCAGTGCAAAGGCCGACTCCGCGCGGTGTGTCTGGGATGTTGCAACCTATGTCCTCGGTCGTTGAACTCCGAGACGCTACACAACGTACGGCACAAACCATGCTCGCGTTAAAATGCACTTTGACAAGGCGACAAAACGGCGCTCCTTGACCGGGTTCTCCGGGTTCAGGCACCGACTCAGGCACCGACTCCGTTGGGCTAGGAGGACCATGCCGGAACAGATGCGAGTGTCGGTACCAATCGCTGTCGTGACACCAGCACATATCAAGATGTATGTATGTATAGAGTTTGAGACATGCGTGTCGCAAGCGGTGTGGACCTTGGTGCCTTAAACTTTGGAGCGTCTATCTGGTAGGCGAGGTTGTACACGTGTGATTGTCAAGTGGCTGGGCAGCACGTCTGCCAGGTGAAGGACAAGCCAAACAATAGTTCAACAGCGAAGACGATAGAGAGTCTTTGCATTTTCCAAGTATGGACCGCTGTTGATGAAGCACACAGCTGGCGTCAATAAAACTGCCCGGTTCTCAGTTCATCGACAATGCCACTTGCCATCCAATGGACCACAGACCAAACAGGCCACCGAGGTTGGCAGCATCAATTGCTACGCTGCAAACCTTCAGTCACCTCCAGAGAATAGGGATCCACATCACTGTCAAGGATCCAGGTCAAACTCAAGCCCTATAACGCATTCAATAGTAGAGCAAGACGTGTTGGCTGCGATCGAGATCGGAGCATGGATCGGAGCCTTTCACACGCAGGCGGCTCTGTGCCCTGCTTGGAGGAGATTTAGCTCCAATAAATCCCACGCGCGCTCCTACTGTGCTGCTAGGAACGGACGCTTGCGACAAGGTGAGACGCGGACCCTCAACTGCGCACGAGCCATATGCGATTTTGCGATCTTTTCCTTGATGGCAAAGTCGCAAAGCAGGTTTTTGATGGAGAGTGAAAAGGACCGACAACGGATGCCAGCCTGATTAGCGGCACTTCCATGCTTCCAGTGGGGATGGTGCAGTGACTACAGCCAAGACAGTCGATTACCTAGCCCAGTTAACTTCTTGCTGACGCGTGCAGCCACGGGTTCGTGAACCTATTCGCGGCTTGGACTCCCGGCACACAGACATATTGTCCTTTGCCTCCCTGGACGTCCACCGATATATATGCTCTTTCTAACTCTGAACCACACATACCCAGTCAGACTGGCAACGACGCCTAAGCCGTGGGGAAGGCTTAGTCACCCTGTCAAATTGCCTCACCCAGCTACCTACACAACGGACAAGGAGCTTGATTCAGCTTGTTTGACCGCGCCAACGGACGATCTAGGGAGTAACACCGCTCTTATCGTGCACCTGCGAACCTGGGGAGGGTGTGATCGTGAAAAGCCACGCGGTAAGTACCATGTAAGTAATGCGAGCCATGGAGTGGGACGCAGTCGCTCCTTCAACCAGTGAAACATGGGTTGCTCAATGCTACCAAAATGCATGACCTAGATTCTCGGCCCCAGTGGTGGCTTCTTCGGGGGATAAGGCCGGCAGCTTAGGCGTGTCCTCGTGCCACCCTGATCGATATTGCAAGCTGAACCGTCGAGAAACTTGTAAACCCAAACAATCAACGATCAATCTTGGACGCTATAGGAGTGGATATTAGCACCAATGCTTGGGCGGCAATATAGCGCCGTCTGATGTCGAGGTTGAGTCTTTTCTGTGCTCCAAACCTTGCGGACGCACACAACGCTCCGAGATCTGTTGTACCGCCGCGGCGCGCTAGGAACCCTAGCACGCTAGAGTGGTGAAGAATGGAAACAAATCCCCCAGAGATGGCCTGACGTTTAGAAGCGTACCAGTATAGTCATGAATGGATATCACCATCGCTCCAATGGAAACTCTAAAAAGGCTTGATGATCGAGCGTGCGCTGACTGACGACGTTGATGCAACGTGACGGAGAGCGTCAGTAACACATCGCCTCGCAAGAAGCTTTGCCAATACTTCTGGAAGTCTCAAGTCGTGGACCTCCGTCAGCCTGTCATTGTCGATGTGGGGTCCCATCCCCGATGCCGAAATGTACAGTAGAGGCAAGGGGAATCTTCCCCTAGTGGTTGGCTTCCGATGATGTGGCTCGCTAATTATGCATTGAGTTACCGATGATGCTCCTCGGTTGGATAGGCAAACCTTTGGGGGCTCGAACAGACCAGTCAAGCATTGTACCATTCGCAAGTATTGCTGACGAGGCCTAGACCTGGCGTCTATGGAGGGGTTACACACAGCCTGGAGAAGATCAGGAGGAGGGGTAACCTGTACCTTCTCGTGCCGGGATTGGATCCGCCATTGACTCCATGAGTCGGCTGAAGCGGTCTGCCTGCAGCTGGCGGAAAACACGACTTTGGGCGAGCTGCGCCACCACGCTGCTTTGCGAAAGGATAGAGTTGCATTTCACTCTGCATCTGCAGCCTTGTCAACAGCTGGCGAGGGGTCCCTGGGCGATTGAGATGGTGTCAGTCGGCCAAGGGGAGCCCATGTTTGGCCCCATCAAGCCAATGGTAGCATCGAAGTTCGAGTGCTGCGTTGTTGACGCTTCCTACGCGAACTTGTAAACAGATCGCCGCTGCAGGTGTCCTTTGCTGTCCTTAGGTCTGGAGATCAAAATGACGGCGGTCAGAGCTGTGATGAGAAACATGTAAGACAACGAAAAGCCAACAGTAAAAGAACGACCGATGCCGCTCCCGGCGGTGTGGCACACAACATATGCGTTCAACCGCTCGCGTCCACCTGGGAAGCAAGCCTGGTGGCTGTTGGTTGCTGGCTGACGATGGTCACCGCCAGGGGCTCTGTTTCGACGACCAAATTTCAATTGCCGTCAATTCGCTGCCAGTGGTAATGTGGGCGGGTGAGCAGCGCCGCAGGTCACACTATTGGTCGCGATCTCGTGCGTTGTGTCTCATCGGCGTCTGCCTCTCGAGGGTGTCGAGCTGTGATGCAGTGCAGCGAATCGTCCCTCAATACCACCCTCTGTCGCAATGGGACGAAGCAAACCAGGGTCGTTCCTTGAAAGAAAGCATGGACGTCGGTGATAAGAAGGGCACATATGGGCCACTGCCTTGGAACGGCTTGAACCAATACTTGCAACTCTGGATCGAATATGATGACTTCTTTCGTCACAAAGCGATGGATGGGTCGGTCGAACGGGCAGGAGATTGACCCAATGCCAGGTGGGATGGTCCAACGTGTCATGGTGCTTGTGTGATGGCAGCATTGAGCCTTTTGCTGCATTGTCAGCCGAGTTTTTGCCAACTGCCCAGACATTGCCGCCACGTCTTGTCAGTGGCAACATCAACGGATGGGAAGAGGTGTGGGCCAGCCGGGCCGGCTATCGTCTTCCCGAGTCGTACGCAGGGACAGAGGGCGACAGCGAACGCTAGGCCATCAGGATGCTGGCAGAGCAGACGGCAACAAGCGTCGCCATGGGCGACGTCCCCGACGGTTCTTTTTGGGGGGGCCGTCATTTTCGTCCCCGAGAGAGCAAGGCTAGCGATTCGGCGTTCCATACGAGAGGAGTACGGGGGGGACAAAGAACGGAAAAGGGACTCGAGGGCGTACAATACGAACGCATTGGCAGCGGGACATAGTGATGGGCGGGACAATCATGAAGAAAAAGGGTCCCCTATGACAACATTCTGGAGTCGACAACTGGAGACAGCACAAGATCAGCAGCGGATCTCTGAAAATCCCCGGCGCCAGCAATCGGGGGCCTTTTACATCAGCATGGGCCGGTCGATTGGCTGGGACACAGTGGGCTCGTTCTTCGGCGTCGTCCGTTCCGACCAATCAACAGGTGCTCGCTGCTGCCCTGTCGAGCCAGCCGAGCCTGCCCTGTCATGCCCGCTTAGCGCACCTGCTCTTGCTCAGCTGAGAAGAGGGAGCCAAGCACACCAACGCACAGGGAACCAGCGTTGAGGGAATTGGGAATTGGGGGGATGGAGAGCAGGAAGGGAGGAGCAAGAGAGCGTGTGGGAAAGGGAAGGACTGAGCATGGATGAACTCGGGCTAAGCCGCTTCAGGGTGCCTTTCTGTCGTGCTTGCCTTTGCCTTTAGGACTCTCCATCATGATCTAGCGGTTACTACCCTATCAGAGATGTAAAGCCCGGATCCCATAGCGCCTGCCCTGCCGGAAACTGAACTGGGGAGGGGGAGGAGGTGGAAGGGGGGGGGGGGGGGCAGGAGGGGCCGTTGGTGACCTAGTGGGCAGCAGGACAGGGCAGCTGTGATGCATCCATCACCCGCGCTCATCCCACTCCGTCACCCATGCAACCTAACCTAACGCCCTGGTTAGTGCATCCATGTTGTCCTGGTCGCCAGCTTGTTAGGTTACGGCCGGCTCCCGCTAGCTGACCTGACCTGACGACCTGAGGGGGGTGTGGAGGGGCTTTGGATGGTGAGGTGCTTGGTGCTTGGTGCTTGGTGCTGCCGCCGGTTGCTGCGTGCTTGGCTTTGCTTTTCTCAGATCATTCTCCATCTCCATCCTGGCCTGGTCTTATTTACTGATGTCGTGCCCACCTCTCCCTCGTCTCGCACCTCCTCCGATCCGCCCCTTCATTTTCTTCCACCCACTCAATCTTGGGATAGAGCCTGGGCAAGACTCTCTTCTTGACCGCCCAATCCACCTTGTCGTTGTCCTCCCACGACCACCCTCGCGGTATCGTTTCACTACGACCCGCGCTTACTCAATAGGGCCTCTCACAGACCCTAATCTCCTTGCTATCCGAAGGTGTTTCCCCGCCACCAGCAGGCATAGCGCTGCTTGAACGCGACCGCGATTCGGATCACTTGTGCACCGTGGTATCCGCGCCTTGTCACCATCACCTTGGCCGTTGTTGTAGGAGACAGCTTGTTGGGGGCAAAAAGGGCACCAGAAAAGGCACCCGAAAGAAGGAGTGGCATCCACCTCGTCCACGCACGGACTGCCGCCAACACCAACACGAACAAAACCCCTCTGCCTCTGCCTGACGACTTGAGCAACCCTGGCTTCAACTGCTGTGCCTCCCTGGTTTCGCATCACCTCCTAGCCATTCGGTTCGGCCGGTTCTTACTGTCCGCCGACCCGCATTCTTCGCCTCACAACCCCTCTCGAGGCCTCTCTCTAGCTCCCTCTCTCTCGTCGAGTTGTAGAGCAAATCACTCCTGACAGTTGCGCCTCATCAACCATCGGTGCTGGCGAGAAATCACTCTTCTGCTGCCTGACGGCACTCGCGATCCAACATCATGTTGGAACCCCATTCGCATAGGCGTCCTCTGGATTCATCCTCCGTCTACAGTCATTCACGCTCTCGAACGACTTCGTCCAACACCTTCCCAGTCCAACAACCCACGCCAATGCATCTGCATCAGCCATATGGGCAGCCGCATCAGCAGTCTTTCACCCGACGTTCTCCCTCGGTCAACACCTTTTCGACCACATCGACGGTCCCGCCCCCGGCCGCCTACCGTACTTCTCCCACCAACGACCTGCGCCGATCAACATCATCCCGCTCTGGCGGCGCTCCTGCCCAGGCAACGGGCTACGTTGCCCTTCTCCGAAAGCAAAAGGCCACCGTCTGGTGCGACCGGTCGCAGTATGAGGATCCTCGCCTCCTAGCCGCGCAACGTGCCGCGAAGCTGCGCGCCAATATGGAGATGGTTGGTGGTCAGCGCACTGCTTCGGGCTCGTCTGGCCCGAGTGGCCGCACCACTACCGGTATCAGCGCGACCGGCAAGGTTGCTGCGAAGATCCGCCACCACGGCAAGCCCGGTGTTGTTGGATATGCTCCAGGCGAAAACCACATTGGCGTCGGCGGTGTTCCCATGCGTCTCAGCGCCACCGAAGTCGAGGCCGAGAGCAGCGACGACGACGATGCGGCGGCGGCTGCCGCGTCACGGCTGCACCACCGCAGAACGGGGAGTAGTGGACGCAGTAGCACAGCCAGCCGACGTGGACTCACGTATCGCACTTCGGGTGCCAGCAACGGGCCTAAGTGGAGTCCCGGCGACACACCTGAGAGGACTGGCAGTATCGTCGAGGAGCGACCGGGAGGAGAACAAGTTCTCGGTGACGCAGCAAGCGAGAAAGCCAGGAGCATGGCAAGTGGAAGCAGCGGCGAGCGGGCAGACGCTGTGGGCGAGCTTGGAGGTGGCAGCAACCCTGCCGCTAGATTGGCGAGCAATTCGCTCATGAACTCGACAGTGACGCGCGAGAAGAGCGTCAAGACGGTGGACGAGCTGAGGAGGAGAGGCAGCGTCGATGAGCGCACCAGCTCCCTCAACACAACTGGACGGCTGTATATCGCCAATCCTGATTAAGAGAAGCAGGCATTGGTGGGCGGGGACGTGTCACTTTCGTTTACTGGAGATATCCTTTCCTTCCCGTTTTCTGGCTTTTACTTTGCATTATCCGGCGTTGGCAACTGGGGGGAGGGCGGAGGATGATACCATGCGGGTCGACCTGCCGAACTGACTACATTATGGTCACTTATTCTCATTACACACACATGTATACCTACAATCGCTCAACGTCTGATTTTTTGTTCTACAATGCTGCGCCTGCGGAACAAAAGTAGTGACCACAGTCAACCAAAACACCATAGTTTACGGTACTTGGGGAGGGTCGCGGGGTCCTCTTGCTGTGGCAATCGTTCATTGAGAATATTCATTGATGCACGCTGCTAGCTCAGAGGAAGTCGTTCTCACGAACGCCACCTTTGGCACAGATTATTCTGGAACGCGATCAGCGCAACCACCAGCCAGAGAGACGCGCTTGTCTGCTTCGGGGACAGAGTGCTAGCGGTATTGCCGACACCTTGAGGCTGTCTGCGGTCAGCTCCAGGCGTAGAGGCGAGTCAGTGCTGCTGCACCCGCGCAGGCTACGTTGCATCAGGGCTTGAACTCTGTCGCCGCTTTGGGACGAGATTGTAAGCGTGGGCTGCGGGGAAGATGGGTGGCTTGATTGAGGTCGAGGCATGAACTCTGTCTGGACCTCTTGAAGATCGTGTTCGTACTGCAATCTGGGTGAAATTGCCCGAGATACCTAGTTACCACGGCCTGTTACATGTATGAAGAATATCGAAGTCTGATAGTTGGAGCCACGCGACCACAGATCTCAGGCCAGTCTCAAATGAGGGGCTCACTCGACCAGGGCTCGAACACTAGACTGCAAATGAGGGATCATACGCTCGTTCATGATATATATGTAGATACGATATAGGCACATCAAAGAAGCCAAGAAAAGTCAAATTCAGGAGCACCGCTATGTCTCGCATGCAATGCAACTGGCTGCTCACCGATTCTCACCCCTGCTTGTTACTTACCGGACTTCCCGGGTGTTGAGAGACCTAGGTCATCAGCCTACCAAAGCGGAAGGAAGGGTCTTTCCCCACCTCTGAGCCACAGCCACAGCCACAGCTGGCACAAGTCCTGGGTCTGGTACACGGACCACTGTCAGCCCAAATGGCCAGACGCGACCCCGGCTGTGGAAGACGCCAGATGGACGCGTGTTTCGCGTCAAGGAGGCCAGGGTCATTATTGTTCCCTCATCAACGGCCAACCACTATAACGACGATACATCGACCAAGAGGCAGGACCGACTGCCAACCTTCAGCCAGTATCGTCGCCAAAGTACGAATGAACAGCAGGCTTTCTCATCATAGCCAGCAATTTCTGCTTTCTGCTTCGACCTGATACCCCCCTGTGTTTCTCCCTCATTCGACCTCCTGATCGCCGACAGTCTCGAACGAAGTCCAATCGATCACGCTCCATCAAACCTGATCACAGTGACGAACCAAAGCCAAAATCCAACAGCATTTTCATATTCAAGCTCGAACAATTGTGCTACAGGCGCTGACATTCGAATCGGTCTTTCACCCTCAAGCGCTCATCAACCTCTCGACCATACACGTGCTCGGTTGCGTGTGCAATATCTGATCCTATTTCCCATTTCAAAGCATACTGGAGCGAGTCTGCCGAAATGCCGATCACCGACTTCTTCAGCGAGCGTCTGAAGGAGAGAGACCCGAACATCCTTAAGAGAAAGTCGGTCGAGATCTCCAACAGTGACGAACAGAACACCGTTCAGACATTATGCAGTGCCAGAGCTCGATCAAGGAGCTCTTCCCTCAGTTCTATCGCTAGCGACGATTTTAACCAACTCGAGAAAGGTGAGCGGTTCTTCGCTGGATCAATCGCCAGGTGCAGTGTACTGACTCCTGTCTCCTAGAAGCTTCATCGACCCCCAAGAAAGCCAGATTCCAGTCGTCACGCCTGACAGCAAGCCCGGGCTCCCTCACAGATGCTGACTCAAGTCGCAACTCCCCTTCCCCAAACCAAACACCAACAGACATAACGTCCTCTCATGATTCCAAGAAGCAAAAGATGGCTTCCAGTGCTCCGGGCAAGACAGCCACCCTAACGAGCGCACCAAGCAAGCGCAAACGCATAACACCAGCCGAGAAGAAGGCACAAGAGGACGAAAAGGAGAAAAAACGAATTGAGCGAGAGGCGAAACGCCGCGACATCGAGGAGAAGAAGGCAAAGGCAGACGCAGAGAAGGAGGAAAAGAAAAAAGACCGCGATGCGAAGCGGCATAAGAAGGAAGAGGAGGCCCGCAAGGTCGAGGAGGAGAAGGCCAAGAAGGCGAGGGCACAGCCAAAGCTAAACATGTTCTTCAAGACGCCTGCCACTCCCAAGACGGAAACACCGGCGTCTGAGACCGCCGTCAAGCCCGCCGTCGAACCAAAAGAGGATGGAGCCGAATCTCCACGACCAGCGAAAAAGCAGGCTACAAAGTCAGAGTACGAGAAACTCTTTAAGCCGTTTTTTGTAAAGACGGATGTTGTTATGGCTTCCAATCCCTTCGCTATGGATGAAGACGCGATCCAAACAAAATCTCGCCGACTCGATGAGTATATATCAGCAAACGACAAAGCCGCCACCAAAATATCTTTCGACCCGGTGAATGTTTTCCAATTCGTCAAACAACCTGCAGCACGCGGCAGGATCCACGAGCCCGTTCAGTCTATTATCGAGAAAATGAGGGCGGCTGCAGCGCTCGCCGAGTCAAAAAGCAACATCGATGAGCAGGAGGCCATCAAGAAACAGACACGCGAGCGCCTTTCCAGGATTCCAATGAAGGTCCTCTGTTTCCAGACAGACGTGCGTCCACCATACCGAGGAACAATCACGCTCCAACCACACACTGCGGGGTTCCAGGCCGTGCGCAAGATTGCTCGCAAACCAACAGCTCGCGCCATGCCCGTCGACTACGACTATGATTCGGAGGCTGAATGGGTTGACGAGCCCGGCGAGGACCTTGACCTCGATGATGAGGAGGAAGAGGATCTGGATGAGGGTGACGAGGTAGCCGGCCTCATTGACGACAGTGATGCCGTCGAGCATACACGCTTCGCAGCCAGCACACTTGAGCCACAAAGCACCGGCCTCTGTTGGGAGAACCGCAAACGTCTCGGACCCGTGGCAACAACCTACAAGCACCGCTTGGAGTTCATCGTAGGCGGTACGATACCTCGCCCCCTGTACAGACCCTTCATTGAAACTAACGCATGTAACCAAGATCGACTGGAACGTAACCACGGACTAGACCCCTTCTCAACAGCCTATTGGGAGTCTGAGGCCCCAGCCAAGGCCAAAGCGCCTTTGGTCGACCCGACGGCAACGGCGGCCGCCGTCAAGGGCGACGAGGAGGCCACGAAGCAGGTGCTCGACGGAATCTCTGCCGCCGATCTCCTCAAGATTAAGAAGGCAATTGTGCGCAATTATGAGACGACGCCACGAATCTCTCGCCTCGGCATGCTGGAGACCCTCGCCGCTAGTGAGGTCGACGGGATCACGATCCGCGGCAAGAGCATCACGAGGCAGAAGGTGAAGCAGCTCCTCGACGTCATGACGGAGCGAACGGGCGGGAAGAAAAATGTGGCTGTGCAGTGGTCTCTGCGTCAGGGATTCGAGATTTGACGTGGCGCCGCCGGTAGCCCGTGTGTATATCAGGATGAGAGAGGTCGGTGGAGTTTATGAACCAGACGGGCCGCTCGCCGTGACAGCACGCGCGAGCATGGCCCGTTTACATGATGATGGCTTGGAGTTTGGAGGTGATCTTAATCCGCCGCCGTCGTGGCTACGACTGGGCCTGAAGCCGCCATGGCTTTGAATGATGATATTCAACCTGTCCAAGGAGAGAACCTTGTTGGTGCGAGCGTGAACCAATATGGAATGGGCCAGAGCGTTTCATCTCGCTTTTGAAACGTGCAAACAAGAACGTTGCCACGAAGCTGCAAGAAAGGAATGGAACCCAAACGGATGGAACTCAAAGCAGTATCATTCCCATATCTTCGTGTATTCAAACATTCTCTCACATGTCACTTCCAGCCCCCCCCGCACAAGAAGAGAACCTACAGCGTCCCCGCGAAATAAAACTCATCAAACCACCCCCGTCCATACAGCCGCAGATCCTCAAACGGGTTCCCCGGCGCCAACACCCTGCGCACGCCCGGCCCCTGGCCGCCTCCCCCTCTCGAGATCCACCCGGCGCTCGTCTCCGTAAAGGCCTGCCACCCCCTGAGCACGACCTTGAACTCGGGCGTGAAGGCCGGCAGGAGGACGACGCTGCTGCCGGTGCTACCGCTGCACCAGGGCCGGACTTCGACCTCGTCCCACGCCCAGAGGCCGTCTGGGCCGACGGGCAGGGAGACGGAGAGCTTGTGGGCGATGGAAGGGGGGATCCTGGTCCAGAGGTCACGAAACTGCGGGAGGAGGCGGCGCTGGATGGGTTCGTGGCCGTCGAGCCAGAGGGAGATGCGGCGGAGGGCGGGCAGGGACGCCGGAGCGAGGGCGCGCCAGAGGGCGGGGCCGTGGATGTGGAGGAAGTCTGGGGCGCCGGCGCGGAGGGCAATGTTGAGGGTGCGGAGGCGCGGGAGGAAGGCGTAAACGGGGTGGATTGCGCGGCGGTGGCGGCGGATGAACAGGGCGTAGAGGGTGTCCTTGTCGGTTATCGTGAGGGTCGTGGACTTGTGGAGGGACGGCATGGACTCGATGTAGCTGTGGGAGGCAAGGGATTAGGCTCGTTGGTACGGTTTTGGCATGTGGCATATGGCAGTATGGCACGTGAGAATGCGACATGTGGTCGTGACGTGAGGGTGTCGGGCGGCAGGCAGTTTGAGACATGGGGCGTGGAGTGTGTGGCGAGGGGCACAGTTGATGGAAGATGGACCTACATTCTCTGGCACGACAGCAGCAAAGGGATGCAAGAAGAGAGCCCGTCTTGTTTCTCCTCTCCGCTGCCATTGGGCGTGCGTCTTTGACACATGGACTCTTGGCACTTCCAGTGGTTACACCACGACGATGTCATGCGGCCATACCATTTTGGATGATTCTGGACCCTCGGTCGTGGGTAGAAGTCGTGAGCGAGGCCCGTCTGGCAAGCGTCGTCAATGCTGTCATGGTCCGCCTCGCAGAGAGCGAACCGAAAGTCGCCGTCTTCAAGGTAGACATGGCGGTTGAGGCCGGCACACTGCCAGAACTCGGCAAAGATCTGTTGGCGGATTTCCAGAGGCAGCTTGCGGAAGAACGAGGACTGGCCTTGGTTGTGTGGTGCTTGTTTGTGCCGAGGACTTGCTGTATATGTTTCTGATGGTGTGACAGAGGTTGCGGCGGAGTAAGTAGACGGACTGGACCTCAGGGAGTGTGAAGAAGAGCAGGCATCCGAATCCTCGGGGGATGAAATACCCCAAGCGGACTCTGGGAGGGACGTCAAGCTGATCGTAGAACTTCTCTTCGCTTCGATCTCAGCAATGCGTTCCGCGATTGCTCGACGCCTACAGGCTGATCTTTGAGCACGGATGAAATTCCGAGCCTTTTGTGATACGGCCTGGTACCGCGAGGAGTTGGTGGTGGCCATACTGCTGCGTAAAGGGCGTAGTAACGGGCGAAGTACAGCTCAACGGAACGGAAGACGCAAGGCGACTCGGGCACGAAGCTATCCAAATCAAGTTATGGCCAAGGCAGCATGTATAAAAGGGACCTCCAGGGTATGAAGAGGAGAACGAGGGAGTTCAAAGTGGACATCGAGGGACATCCATAAGGTCTTCTTTGGCTCAGGGAGGCGGACGCCAACACCATATAAAGCCAACAAGGTGTACGCCGCCCCCGAGCGTCTCATATTGAGAGCACGAGGTGGACGCCCGAAGAGGATGTGGAGAGTTGACCAGAAGCTTTGGTGCGTTGCAATACAACGTCTTGGAAGCTGCTAAGATATGGGCTATTTCCTGGCGCATGTCGACGTGAGTGAGGCCAGACTCAAGGTTATCCGATCAGGTGTGCTCCTTCTCAGGCATAACGAATGTGCTCCAACATGGTATCCCATGGGACGGTACCCCATGTGCCTCTCTCCCTCTTGGTATGCATCGTGCTCACGCGAAAAAAAAAATAACTCCTTGGACAATCTTCGGCGAGTATCCTCATGGGCTCGGAATCCGCTTGCAGGATGTGGTCCAGCACGACGGCGCAGCCATTGCTGTGTCACCCCGTCCCAGGCTGTTGGTTCCAGCTACTAGATCGCGCCCAACCAGCGGCCAGCTCAGGCACCAACTCGCCCGTTCTGGACAGGCGTTCCTCTGCACGGCTCGACTCCACAGAGGCCTGCAGGCCAGTCGGAAGGGCTCACGGTGATCGGCGGCAGAGGCTGGGTGGCCGATCCAGGATGCGCGTATGCTAGGTTTGATCCAAATGCGACACTTGTGATGCGGCATCCTGACAGCGTCACGCGGCACAGGTGGTCAAGGTGTGGCCACCCCCGGACGCCGTCTCGTCCCTCGCACGGGTAGCAAAGGCCTAGATTCCGCGCCAACTGGCACAGGTGGCTTGCGGGCGCAGCGTGTTTGAGACCGGCGTGATTTCTCTTGCCGAATCCTTCCTTCCTCCATGGCGATTCCCCGCGCGCGTCGGACAGTATCGAAGCCAAGAAGATGGGCTTGCGTGATCGATTTTCGACTTGGCAAAGAGGCGAGATTGTCCGAGGGACGGTCCGAGGCCAAGGCGAGCGGGTTCCTGCCAGTCGACTGTCAGCTCGCCATCAGAGTTTCTCTACACAGGTCGATCCTTCGCGGCTGGTGTCTCATCATGGGGACTTGTTCACGAGGTGACTCGTGTAAGCTTAAATTTCAGTGTATGGCATGTCTCAGGCATACGGTGTACTCGACATGAAGCCAGCTGAATAGGGTCCGCAGACGACCTGGCGGACCCGGCAGAGACGGCGGACGGGACTGCAGCCACAACCGATCGAGGTCACTCGTCCAGGCGAATGTGACCGTCAGGATCTAGGCATCTGATGCGGAACGTGCATGGTAAAGATGCATGGTAATCAACAAGAGTCCTCAGGCGGACTTGCACCAACAGAGAAGGCCGCGGTTGGTGATGATAAGTTCGGGGGTTGCAGAACCAGGTTGCCACTGGGGCTGCTCAGGTCGGTGTTGGCCAGTGTTCCAGTGGCAGGGAGCCATGTTGCATCGACATGGGACTGCGGCGGAAGGAGCTGGAACCAGCCGATAGGCAGCACCGGCATCGAGTCAAGCCATTGGAAAAGAAATCCTGTAAGCAGCATGTCGAAGATCTGCTGTCACCACAAAGGCAAAACCGTTCTCTCGTATACCATCCTCTCCGAGGAGAAAGACGAGATGAGGAGACGAGAAGCGATGAGTATCAACGGCATACCAAGACATGGGGGGGATGCTGTTGGTGATATCGGATGATGAAGTGTGACAGCTGCAGGAGGCATTTTTGACGCACGGAGGCGGTCGTGCCATGCCACGGAGAGCACTATGTCGACAATGCACGAGACGATATGTATGCTTGTGATGGAGTGCCGGGCAGACGACTGGGCTGGGGGGTCCATGGTGATGGTGCTCGAGAGATTGCAGGAGGGAGGTTTTGTTCACTCGGTGAGGTACCTACTGAGGCAGTGGGCGGGCAGTGGGTGTCGATTTCCTGAGGTGCTTCGAGCGCAGAGGAGGGAAAGCTCCTGGCGCCCAATGAGAAGCTGCCTAAGCGCGCTACAAACCTCGGTCTGATTTGCTCATTGGTCGCCGCCGGATCTGCACATCAGTGGTCAAGCAACACGCGGGGGCCCTGTCCGCGGCCGGGCCCTACCCAATCCCCTTCTGTAGAGGCCGAGACGTCAGTGCCCGTCACCGTCCACCATCGGCAAACAATTTCATGGCCCTGCCGCTTGTTTGCCCATTGCTTCTGCGTTTGTCTCTGGCTGTCTCTGCTTCATGCTGTCGATCATGGACGATCTCTGATTTTCTGGAACCGTGTTTTGTTCTGTTTCGTTCGAGGGGTTCCCTGGTGCGGGCCACCCAGGTTACAGGGTATTTTATCTACCTACAGAGGTACCTACCTACAGAGGTACCTACCTACCTAGGTACCTAGGCACCTAGGGAGCTCAAGCTCTCAGAAGTCGTGGCTTCCCCCCCACCTTCGTGACCACCCCAACGCCTTTTCCCCATCGCGGCGCACCTTCAACTTCTTGGTCTGCATTTCTGCTGACCACCAGCCGGGTCGTTTTCCTCCTCCTCCTCCTTCTCTGCCACCCCTCCCCACCATCGTTGGCCGGAACGCCCGTCGACCGCGATCCTTCGCTCTGTTGGTCCTTCGACAACCGTGCGCGCCCAGCACCCCATGGCGCCCGGTACGCCGTATCCGATTCTTTCTCGACAGCCATCTCGACTTTGACTGCTGTAGCATTGATCCTACGTCATGAAGTTCGCGAAGGAGCTCGACCAGGACCTTGTCCCTGGTGAGACATGACCTCTCAACATGATTCCTTGGCCTGCCCTATCCTCATGCTCTGCTGCTGCCCTACGTGCTGTCACCTCAATTTTCCCACATGTGCACACATCGTTGACGATGCCGTCTGAATTCCGACTAATTTATCTGTCGCACAGAATGGCGCGTCAAGTACCTCGATTACAAAGGCGGCAAGAAGAAGATCAAGGCCGTCTCGCGCGCCTTTAGTCGCGCGCCCCCGACGCCCGCCAACGGCAAGTCCAGCAGCGATGCGCAACCCAACCCAGCGAGACTCGATGCCGACCAACACGTCTCGACGTCTCCCTTTTCGTTTCACGCCATTCGACGATGGAGTCATTCCCAGGGCGGCCACGTCCCCGACGAGGTGGCTATCCTGAGGGGCAACTCGGTGCGAAGCACAGCAAAACCGACCTCGGCCGCGGGTCGTGCCATCCCCACGAGCAGGCACGAACGTGATGGCCTCACGGCTGCTGCCAACGACATGCACTACGGCAGCTTTGGACTGACACCGCCCTTGTCCACGACACCGAACCAAGCCGACCACCGGAACACGTTTGAGCTGCCTGCTCCCGCCATCAAAGTCCCTTCTCACACCTCGGAGCATCTGGCTCCTCCCGATGGGCCACGGCACCACTTTCCCGCTGCCAGAAGACTGAAACGAAGCGCATCCGAGGCGCCGCCGCCTAGCATGGCAGAACCGCCAGCCCGAAGACCACAGACTGGGACTGGGACCGGTACGGGGACGGGGACCGGAACTGGTACCCCCCGTGTCCCGCCAAATAACACCCTCGGACCAGACTTGACGCCGCAACGGGGCAGTTTGCGCCGCATGCTGTCTCATGCCCTGCCCAGAACGCGGGCGCAGCGGTCAGCGCCGGACATAGTAATGCAGGCAATGGCCCTGGATGTGTACCAGCAGAAGGAGCGTGAGTTCTTCGAATTTTTGTCGTCCGAGCTGGAAAAGGTTGAGTCGTTCTACAAGATGAAGGAGGACCAGGCCGCCGACAGACTGGCCGTGCTGAAGGAACAGCTGCGCGAGATGCGAAACCGGCGAGCCTACGAACTCAACGAGGAGCGGCGCAAAAGAAAACAAGGGGCTCACGACGTCATGGCCGACGAAAATGGACATCGCATCCTGAGCGACCACGGCTACCTCGACCAGGTCAAACACAAAATCTTCAAGCCCGGTCCCAATTCGCGGGCCATGTCGAACATGGCGCAG